TTTGTCGGTGGTGAGAATGTGGCAGAATCACACTGTGAGGCAGAGCGTAAGATAGTTATTCCAAAGACATTTTAACAGTGTTGTCTATGGTGCATTAAACGCCCCCAGTGATTGGCATAAGGTGGTCTGTGTGTAAAGTCAGTCCCCATATTGACCTCGGAGCCCAGACTGCACAGCCACATTGAGCTCACTGGGAAGTAGTGAATTCATTGACCTGTGCTGTGGAAAGGATAAGATATTCCTCGCCTCCGACCTAGCCCGTTTCACATCGGGGAGGACATCTCACAGTAGGGTTACTGTAAAGCGTAATGACTGCGCTTTTTGTCAATGGGCCAGGATGGGCGTAAACCCACATTGATTTGGTTGTTTCAAGAGAAAATCAGGCCAATGGTTCTGGAGGATTTTCGTACACAGGTAGAGAAGGGGTGAGGCTGAACGGTCGAGAGAGTTCAACCAGTCGTCAAGAAATCCAAGTGCAGGCAGTAAAGAGCTGGCACACATCGTCTGACTGCCCCAGGGCAGGTTTATGTCTGAGAGAGCGAGTGGAGGCTTTTAACCTGACCTGGCGGTAAATACCAATCACCTTCGCCATGACAGTGACTTTTTCTTAGAAGAGAAAGACGCTTCCCATTTCCTTGCAGCACGTGTTCAGAGCCAGTGCGGTGGGCTGGCCCCACCGAGTCCGTCCGTGCTGTAACACACTACAGTTGTTGGCAGAATTACCCACTGGGCAGAGCTGGCAAACACAGCAAGCGATCTCTGCTCCCAACTCCCTGGGGCTGATCTCTCTTTTGGGGTTGTCCCAGTCGTCTATTCTACTTGTTTTTTGGACGTTGGTCTGGTTGCCAATGGTTCCCCTTCTCTCTCGCCTCCAACCCCTCCCCAGCTTCCCCCTCATCCCCTCCTCTCCCATTCAGCTCTCACCCCAAGGTCGAACAGCAGTAACTCTACCAAGGAAATCAAACAGCTTTCAGCTTGTAATCACCAACACTAACCCAATGAGTTTTGACTAGTCTAGCAAGGTGTGTAACATTCATCAGCTGTAAATTGCTGTACAATGAAAAATAAAATTACAGCGAACAGAGCCATGCTACCTTAAAGTCTAAGCTACAAGATCAAATTAAAAAATAAAAAATAAAATAAGAGAGAAAAAAAAATGGTTATGGACTCCTCTTAAAAAGTGACAAAACCCAGTCACAAAATCTTAACAAACGTACGCTCTGGACGAGTGAGAAACTAAAGTAAACCTTCACTATTATAATAGGCAGACACGTCAAAAACATAGTTTTTCAAAAATATTTGTGCTGTGGGCCACTCGGGACTGTGTAGGTGTATAAACATTAAAACTTAGCACACAATTTTTTTTTTATCAATTTCATCTGAGCTTTTAAAAAAATATGGATTCTTTTCTTAATAAAATCATTTTCATAATTATAGCTTGCGTCCCTCTTAAAAATAATAAAAATCCAGTTTTGCATATCTAGCATTAGCATTTAAGGTAGTATGGCGACCCCTTTAAGAGACAAGAGTGGGGTTTCAATTTAATGCCTTGCATTGTCTGCCTTGCATTAAAACGTCATGAGAGCTTTGGTTAGTTGAAACCATATCAGATCAGCAAAATTGCCCCAAGATTATTCTGGTTAGCAATCACCTTTTTTTTTAATTATTAAATAGAGAAAGTCCTATCCTTACAGGTCCTAGATCTCATCAACTAAAGGCTATTCCTTCTATTTATTTATTATTATTATTATTATTTTTTTAAAAGGTTTTCTTTTTTTTTTCGTTGATTTTTTTCCCGCGCGTGTACGGGTATTTTTTTTTCCGCTTTTTTTTAATGGGGGTGGGTGGGAAGGGGGTGGGGGTGGGGGTCGCGGAAGGGGGGGCCGGGGGGGGGTAACATTTTTTAACTGTGTGACATCTACGAACTACGCACTACTTCAAGATTTTTATGATCAGAGCGAATTTTTTTTTTTTAAAATTAGAAAAGAAAATGAATTCACTACCACGAGCATCAAGACAGCAACTCCAGGACACAAACAGCAATTATACACACTTAGCAAAGTACATCAATGTTTACCAATTGGGGGGGGGGGGGGAAGGGGTGGTGGGGAAAGGGGGAGGGTTTAAAAAAACAACCCACTTTTTATGAGGGGAAAAGGGAATGAGCAAAGAAAAAACAAAACTGGAAGTACAGTACAGAATTATTAATAACACCCACCCCAAAAATATAGATAGAAATACAAACACCTCTCCACCTGCTCCCGTTCCCCCCGCCCCTCCCCTGACCATCAACTCTCGGGCCACTGTTCCGTTAATTTTACAAGAACAAGCTTTCCGTGTTTGTGCGCGAGTGTGTGCGCGTATCAGTTGTATGTGTGTGTACATAGAGTGCGTGTATATATATATGTGTGCGCGTGTATATATGAGAATGTGTGAGTGTTCGTCTTGAGTGTCCATACGTGAGTGTGTGTGCATATGTATGCGTTTGTGTGTCTGCTACTTCATCTAATCTGCTCGGTCAAGAAAATGTATAGTTTTTTTCATTAAACCAGTTGTTTAGAACGTGGGTGGGTGGGTGGTGGTGATGGGTTACAGAGGGAAGGGAGGAAGTCTTAAAACAAAATACCCCTACACGATCAGCAGTCTACTAGCGTTTTCTGGTGCAATAGTTGAGTGTCTCTCTAGTTGCCTCTTCTGTTTTATACCTGCCTAGATATAAGTGGCTACTGGTTAGTAATCTATAAAACAGGAGTTCAGCAGCTACCGTTTAAATCTTTGTCTCAGTGTGTTAACAAAGGTGAATATATTTGATAGTACCAGATTCTGCAGGTTAAAGGAGTTACTGATATATTTTTTCCGACAAAAAATAAAATTGGCATGATCGTGTTTTTTTTAAAATGTCGTGCCCTACAGAGTAAAAAAACATGTTCAATGATCTGCTTCATCGCACCACCTAACAAGATGTTATTCTATTGGCCTATGCGTTCCAAATTTAATTAAAAAAAACAAGACAATGTAACAAAATTAAAATATCCTTCATAGATCTCCCCTGCGTCTAGCTGACGAGGACCAATATAAAAATGCCAAATAATTAAAACGTGCAAATAAGATTTGTCAGTTCCTCCCTACCAGTCACAGTGCAATGATGTTTTATTTTTTAAAAATCTTATTTTTAAAATTTTTATGTCTATAATAAATTAATCTTTAGAATGCTTCTATGCTGAAATCAATACAGCAGTGAGGTATTTGCCAAACAAAGGTTTTGCTCTCATAATTCAGTAATACAGAGTAAAATGGATAAGGTCTTGTGAGCTTCGAAAATATTGCCCTCCAATCTATCTATGTCTTTGAACGGGCAATACAGTGAATGACAGAAATCTCAGCTACCTACAGCTTAAGGATGTAAAGAGAATCATTTGAAATGTCAGGACAATGGTTAGAAATCTGTTCTCGGTCAAGAAGTGAGAGAAATGAACTTTCTAACCTTTCTTTTTTTAAAAAAAAACACGTAAAACTTGTGTGATTTTTTTCAGCGTGAGTCCTTTTCAGTTCACGGAGTGGAGAGCGATTTGCTTTTTTTTATATATATATTATATATAAACAAGTAGCAATCCGTCACAAATAAAAGAACAAATCAGCTAATGCAGTCTTATTAACTGAAGGTATTTTCCTTGAGCTGTCCATGTGGGTCCGAAATAGACTAGAAATTAACACGCTGGCTGCTATGAACCTGGTTCAGTCAACAATGTTCTATCAACGTTCAATCTAACAGAGCAAGCTCAACAGTGTTAAACTAGTATTGCTAACGGGCCAGCCTGGGCAGTCAGGGTCAGCAGGACTCAATCTGAGTTAGAGAAACTTCCTTCACCAAGTACAATAACACCCCCAGGAGCAGCACCCTAAAGCAAACCAAAATAATTTGTATCCCGCGCTCTCTCTGTCAGTCTCTCTCGCTCTCTCTTTTTAATAGAATATATGCAGCCATCTTGGAAATGTTATATTTACAGTATATGAAAATTCACAATTTTAAAAAAAAAGAACACCTTTATACTATCACCTATTTAAACGCCTTGAAAGGGGTGGGGGATGGGGGGGGGGGGGGAGGAAAAGGGGGAAAAAAAGAAACTGTGTGAAAACAGTACTTATAGAAAAAGGACTCGGAAAATAAAATTTCACAGTCCTGACCTTATTGCCAAAAAGTGGAGCTAATCAAAAAAAAACGACACTGTCACAGGAAAAAGATAGACCTACTCCAATAGTTAGTTTGCTACTTATCTGCTTCTAAAGCTACAACATAAAAATATAGGGCAGGTAACTGCCCTTAATCTTACTAGTCCTAGTTAGTCACCCTTGAGAAAGACACCAGCATTACGCCAGTATTACACTGTCTTTTTCAATATTAAGTTTTCACTTGTACGTGTTTCTGTTCCCCTTTCCCTCCTCCTCCCTCTCCCCCCAACCCCCGCGCACACACATTTACAGCTCTTTACAGCCAATAACAGTGGGGGAGAGCTGGAGAGGGTATTTTTACGTTACGGGTAACCCTTTATGTGTTGTCAGCGCCTTGTGACGTCCTCCCGACATGAAAGGCGCTGTACAAATGTAATTTCGTATTGTATTTTGTATTGTTCTAAAAGCACAAATGTAAAAGGGACCCATTTTTCTCGGTCGAAAGGGTTCGAAAGGGAAACAGTGAAACAAGTCAAGCAACGACAAAAGTGTGCATTGCGCAGACAGCACAACCTGCACACACACACACACACACACAAACACACACAGAGGAGATAGAGAATAACGCCACTATATACTCAGAAACCACGAACAGCAGGAAAGAAAGCTGTGATTCAAATAAAACTTTAAAATAAATCAAGAGACACGAGCGAGAGAAAAAAAATAGGCTATTATTATCGACGCCACTTAAAATGTCATTTTTTTTCCTTATTCTAAGATTATTATTATTATTACTATTATTATTATACAGTAGACCCACTGAGATGATGTAATTTTCTTTTCTTTTTTTTATTAAAAAAAGTCCAGCCCACAGACTGCCATCTCCTGTGCTGTTGGCTGATGATGATGTAGTGCTCGTTTGTGTGTGTTTTTGTCCCCTCATTTTTGTTGACATCACCTGAATCTGGGCCCCATCAGTACGTTCGCCCAGCCTTGCCTGGAGCTCCTGCTAAACTCTTTCGGGAGGAGCAAGAAAGATGGAGAAGGGAGCAGGGGGAGAGAGAGGGAGAGACAAAAACAAAATAAAGTTGTATTTCCAAACCCATTTCACAAACCGGAAAACATCTGTCTGAATGACTTTAATGGGGAAGGTTGAGGATGGGTTGTGTGTGGGTGGGAGGGTGGGGGGTTTAACAGAGTAAATAGTGTCTAGAAATCAGCAGAGAAAGGATGACAGAGCGATTCATGAGACAGGAAAAGGAAGTTACGGTTCACGAATGACTCCCAGTGGGAAATTAGTGGCTATGTGTGATGTCTGATGGTTCTGAGAGCGGGTGGTGGTGGTGGTGCTGGTGGGGGTTTGGATCGATAAACTACATTGATTCTTCTGATGGATGTCCCCACTGAACATCTATTAGGAGGGGGAGGTGGTGGTGGTGGTGGGTGGGGTGTGGGGGGGTGGGTGGGAGGAGAATGGCTGCTTTAGGAATGCCCGTCACCTCAAGGCTGAGCTATCAAGGATTCCCCATGTTCCCTCTCCCTTCTCTGTGTGACAAAAGTCACTGTATGACTCCTTTCTTGTGCTTCCCATTAGTTTTCTCAACTCTCCCCTTCTGTTCCTCCGTGTTCCCTCCATAGCCCTGTGGTGTCCTGTGGCTCAGTGGTTAGATCACTCGCCTCGCAAGCGAGAGACCTGGGTTTGATTCCCGGCAGGAGATACACATAATAAGCATCCAGCTTTTCTGTGTGATTTTCCTCCTCTGTGATTTGGGGGTGGGGGGGGGGGGGGGGGGGTGCGCAAGGGAAAAAGCACATTTGGTGGCCTTCAATGGTTCCCCTATTTCCGAGCTAAAGCCCAGGAAGCTATAACGTGGGCACGAGGTTGCATTGTTACACTGCACACCAACAGCACAGCAATATGCTCACCCCCGCAAGTTCCGATTGCATTTCAGGCCATTCCCTCCTAATATTTTGCCTGTATAATGGGGCCATCTGTCTGAGGGTACGGGGCCCTAGGCAGGAACCAGGCTGATATTTTCACCTCTTACTCAGCTATTCAGCAAACATCACCAATTACCCCTGGTCTGTACAGCTCAGTATCTCACCAAGTAGTGCAGGAACCTATTGAGCCATCATCAAGGACCTTCTTACCATCTTACATAGAGTCATGCAAAAGGACATATTTATATACAACGAAAATGACACGGAGCAAAAGAAGGGGAAAACTAGAGAGTAGAAAATGAGTGGAGATTCAAGGAAAGCTCAAGGTTTAGAGAATAAGTGAGGCAAGCAATCACAAAAAAGTTTTGCTAACCACTACTCAACTGGGACTGACCAATCTCGAGATATCAACTCAAATCTAAATGTTTTGGTCTCATTTCTGGTTTAATGTTAATTTGGGGCTCCCCACAATGGTAGAATTCACTCCTCTCACAATCCAGCACTCCCGGGTGTCAGGTTATCCCAGGGATAGAGCAAGAGTCAAGCCTCACTTGTCTATGTCCCAACCATGTGCCTTTACACCCAACCTCAAAAGAGCACCTTCCACTGTATCAATGAGACTTCTCCATTTCCTCATCCCTTTCCATCCTACTTATCATCTGGACTAAGTAAACCTATCCAATCCAGGTGAAATTGGTGCTGAATTATGGCCTTTTTTGGGGGAGGGGGGTTGGGGGGGAAGCCTGGAAAATTATAATAATAATCCTTGCATTTGATATAGCCCCTTATCACATCATTGAAACTTCTCAAAGCGCTTCACAGAATATACTGTAAAGTGAATTGACTGTATATTTTGTGGGCAAAACGTGACAGCCAATTAATTGCGCACAGCAGTGTCCGCAAGCAGTCGTGGATTGAGTGAACAAATTATTTTCTAGTTATTTTGAAGGAATTATTACCCCAAAAAAGCGATCCGCCAATCGACTAATCAGGATCCTACTTACTGCTAGGTAAACAGAGGCGTGTGGAGTAAGGAAACTTGCCCAGTGTTTGGCCCTGCTGGGAATCGAACCCAGGTCCTCGGTATCCCCTCTGTTAGATTCTAAACTCGGTCCCAGAATGAAAGATATCATGCTACCCTGCTACGGCCTCTCCCCCCAAATTACATAGGTCTTTCCTTTCAAATGGGAACGATCGCTAACTGACCAAACCATGTTACAAGAATAGCTTCAGTGGCAGAAGAGTGATAAAAGAAGGTATAAAGGGGTATGTAGGAAGTAATGGCAATGTGTGCAGGAGCAGAGATTAACTACCTTAGGAAAAGTGAGGGAAAGAAATGGTAGAGAATATATAATATAATACCTCAAAAGTGAGATGGCAACCAACCACCTGTTTGCTTTCAATGGTATCCGTTTGTAAAAGCCGTCGCAATCAACGGTCCCTAAAATTGTACAGTTATTAGCTCCGTCAGTGCTCAGTACATAGTCACACAAGGCTAACACTTATGGTTTTCAGAAAAGAAAATAAGCTTGCAAAATGAAAAGGATAAAGTGATGGTTGATCGATAGGACACATTTCTGAGTTATGCCAGGTAAGGAGCAGCTTCTTAAACTCATTCCTCCTCACTCTCCTCCAAACTGGCAGCTCTTGAAAATACCCAGAAAGTTTCCTGACTGAAGCTCTGGAGCACCTAGTTCAGCTGACACTGCATTAAGGTTGAATGAACTGTATGGTTCGATGTGTATTCTTTTGCCTCAATGTTATTACCTAACGTGTTCATTCGATTCAAGAACGTTGTTGAATTGAGAGAGGAACGTGATAATTAGGCTCCTTATTTTAAATCCACCCATCATCACTTAAAAGGAAAGATGAATTCAACAAACAGCCTTTCGTCTCTTGTTATACTCATACAATTCAGTCAGTTTGGGAAGCTGGGCCACAAGCTGTTTTGTAAGGAAACTTACTAAATGGAAATGAAGATCACCAACGTTCTGAACCTGACTTTTTAAAACAATAGGGAACAACTCCTCGCTGTGGGTTAATCAAAGCAAAACCAAATGAGAAGCTCACAGGTACCAGGGCTCCTGACAGACAGGCACAGCTTGGGTTGGACCTGTTCTCAACTGGTTCTTTCACTGAACTGCAGTTTGGAGAGGCTGTCAATCTACAGTCCATGCCTTGTTTTCCAACTTACGTTGCCACGGCTCACCCAGGGCAACACAATTCCAGAATGCATGAACTCTCTGCACTATTTACAACTCTTGTCTATAATTAGAGCCCTGAAATGGTTGTTAGGCTGACTAACAGATTAGGGACCCAAAACTGACTAAATGTTCTCTGTTGGAGATCTTCTCCTCTAGGCTTATTTCCCCCCTTCCAGTTTTCTCTCCTCTCCTCCTGAATGTAGCTTATGCTGGCAGCCATCAGCATCCATCTAGCACTTAACTCAAGTGGCTATGTGCGAGTCTAGGGTATCTGTGAAGAGCATCACAACCACACCCAACCCTGTTCTCATCCCTCGTGGTCCTCATGCTCTTGGGTTTAAGGCCATTGTCTTCAAATTTAACATGTTCGATGTTGTTTGGGAAACTGCGATGGGAAGACAGATAGGGTGGGTATTCGGAAAGATAAGATCAAAATGGGTCTAAAGGCCTTCTTAAGCCAAACCAATATTTGATCTTGGTAAATGGTCTTAAGGAAATTCAGTCTTAATTTACAAGGTTTTCCACGATTCCCTTTGGGTAGTGATAACCATAAGCTTCCAAATTAACACTGAATTTGAGGCTCTGTTTTTTTTTACCCCCAAAACCCTTTCTAAAAAATTGTGAACTTAGATTTGGAGACAACAGACTTTAAGCTTAGGAGCGTGAGAGACGTCACTCTGCTGGGACTATTTATTGTCTGCAAATTCTTGAAAATAATTTTTGGGAAAAAAAAACTAGCTTTCAAATTAAGGCTCAAATTTGGGAATTGTTCTTCTAAGTTTTAACGCTAAAAACGAAAGCAATGAAGTTCCTTCTTTAAAGCAAGGAATTTCTGGCACCTGATTGTCCACCCGTGCACTTTCCAACAAGGCCACCAGACAGCAAACAAGAGGAGGAGGAACCTGGATGGTCTGTTCTCCTCTCTCTCTCGCCTGGAGACTCTGTTCCCAATTGTAGCACCTCCTTCACTGCCCCGAGGCAGGGCAGGGTATGGTTTGGTACCACATGTGGCTATTGGGAGCCTAAATGCTTTGAGATTTTAAGCGAGGCAAAAGAGCTCAGATTGGATATAGCTGAAACCTCACATTAGCTGTTAATTTCCTAATAAATTAAGCATTTTGTTTCTATTTCTCGGCAGTTGACAGGAGGCACGGAACTACTGTGTCATGCAAGACTTTTGCAATGCTATCTCACCAGGACTGACAACCTCTCCTCGGGAATACTATACGCTCATGCCAACACAACTAGTATTAAGAGCACTGCATTTTGACACAAACACGTACAGTTATTAAGGCAAGTTCCAACTTCAAAGCACTTCATTTGGTTGGTCTATGTCGGCTGGATATAAAGAAAATACTAAATGTACAGCTTCGCCTGAAGGTTCCAGATCACATTCCTTCTCTGAAAACCCAGGAGATTTGAACCACGTTTCATTCTTTTTTGTAGTATTTAAATTATATTTTGGGAGCAGGGTCAGTGTGTGTGTGTACGTGTGTGCGTGTGTATGTGCGGAGGAGAGTGTGGGAGGAGAGAGGGAGGATCAGTTTGGGTTACAAATTGGTAAACGTGTGAAGCACTTTGGTGACTTGGCAAGCGAGGTAATGGAAGCACTTGTTAAACCAGACTTTAATCATCACAGGAAGCCCAGGACTTGATTGATGTTCGCATGTGGGGGAATGAATCTGTCCATCGTCCCCACAACGTCTCAGTGATTTTATTCAGTGAGCCGTGTGGGTGTCCCAGGGTTGATCCCTGTGCTCTACTGAGTTATGTGATCTCAGCCAAGCCTGTAGTTGGGATGCTGCCATTGGCCTCACTGACCCAACTGAGAGAGGGGAAGATCTGCCAGTGTTTCCACTCCTGATCACTGCCCAATGGTGGACATAGAGGTGAGAGTGTAATCACATGGGGTTCGATGTGGTGCCAACCCCACCCTCTGCCCAGATCAAATAGTTCCATAGTATTTGAAGGTGACTGGCATCTGTGGTCAATGGGTCAATCAATCAAAGAGCAGAGATATCTGTACCCGTGAGCTACTAGTGAGGACCACTGTTCCACCGGGTGACAAGAGGAGGGAGCTGGGAGAAGAGCACGTTAAATAATAATAATCCTTGCATTTGATATAGCGCCTTATCACGTCTTCAAGACTTCTCAAAGCGCTTCACAAAAACCGAGGAAGGGGCGAAAGGGATTTCTGAATGAATGGACACTTCGCAGCCTCCATAGACCAACCCAAAACACTGGCCACTAGTAATATCAGTTTGGCAATCTTTCAGCCATACATGCGTCACACAATATTGTTTCATTCATTAAATCAGCGTTAAGGAAAACACAACAAAAACATTTCTGTCCGTGGCCGGTTTAAGATTCCACGTCTCCCTGATTTAAATGTGACATGGAATAGACTCAAAATATCCTTTTGACTGAGCACTTTATCTGAAGGTTTATCAATGAGAACTGTTTTTAATTTCATAATGAAAGACATGATTTAGCTTAATTGGGCACATGTGCACTTTCCACAGCTACAACTTTGCTGCTGACTGACTGCACTTAAGGGTAAATAAAGCACCAACCTGAGGGCTTTGGAAGTGTCAAGCCCAGAGTGCAAAGCGTGAGTGAGGGTTCTGAAGTGGATTTAAGATAATCTTTCAGTCTGTTTCATTGGATCTTTCAGCTGTTAAATGTTTGGGGCCCCATGATAGCCTCTCATTCACTGTACTGTCTCTCCTTCTGTCACTTCTGTCTATCCTACAAGTTTAAAGAAAAACTCAGTTTATAATTAGAGCTTCCGTTCCTTAAATGATGACCCTCAATTACTGTGTCATTCCCAATTCCCTTTCATGTATGTTCATACATGAGTCAGACAGACAGTATCCTGATCACATAACATATAAAACACTTCAGGTCCTTTTGTAATACATAAGCCCCCTCTCCTCTCCAGTGTCCTCTTGCAAGTAACAGTTCTGACATCCCATCCTGTTATATGTAACGTGTGTAATCCCATCCCGTGGCATGTAACATGTCTGAAATCCCCAGCTTTGGGCCTCAGTTTCCGGACAGAAATATTTTGGCGTTGCTCTCTTTAAGCAAGGCACGGTTTATCATGCATTTAGTCAAATAAAACGCAAGTTAAACAACAAACATTCAGTATTAATTATTAGAGTTACTGAACCTTCTGGAGTGTGACATTGTGATTCACCCACAATAGGATGATGTGACCTAACTGTATCTCGGAGTTTCTGTTATATACCTGTACAGGATGCCTGTTCCTTGGATATGAAAATTATTACTGTTAAATGGATCAATAGATGGTGAGGACAAAAGTACGTAATGGAAATTTTAAAATCCACACACATTAAAATATATACTTTTTAAACTTTGTTTTTTCCATAGCGCAAAAGAAAATATTCCTTTCAAATTAACTTTTTGTTGTTGTTGTTTCTCTCTTTTTTTATAAAAAAAAACACAAAACAAGACGTTTAGCTGACCGGGTACGTCAGGAGACACAGATAACACACTCCAGATGAAACCAACCTGACCTCTGACCTTGCTACCAATTATCGAAAGGCTCCCGCACGATACAGCGTGAGTTCATTCCTGGGCCTCGTGGGGGAGGCGGGTTAGCGAGCAGCAAACAGGCCAATGCGAGTGGGCGGGGAATGGATGGGGTTTGGGGCTGAGCGGGTGGGGTTGGGGGAGCGGTTGGGGTTGGGGGAGCGGGTGGGGTTGGGGGAGCGGGTGGGGTTGGAGGAGAGAGTGAGTGGGTGGGAGAGTGAGTGGGTTGGATTGGGTCGGGAGTGACAGGTGAGTGGGTGGGATTGGGTGGGTGGGTGGGAGAGTGAGTGGGTGAGGCTGGGTGGGGAGTGAGTGGGTGGGGAGTGGGGGGTTGGTTGGGTGGGGGGGTTGGTTAGCATTTGGTACAAGGGTTGGTTTAACTAACTTGGGATATGCTGCAGTCGGACATTTACTGGGACGCCCACTGTTTATATTATTGCTCTCAACCAAGGAGACAAATATAGACATATATTTTTCCACTTTTGGACTTAAGTCCAAAGTGTTGCTACCATTTTGTGTTCGTGTTTGCATATTTGTTTTAATAAAGAGACTTTAAAACGGTACAATTTTAATTTGCAGGTTTGCTACCAATATATAGTAGCTCGGACCACATTCCAGCCAGCCCACAATGGCGGGTGTTATAGAGGTACACTTGTAAAATAGTTACTGTGGTAGGCTCGGTCAGAGGTTAGGATTGACACTGTCTTTTGTTCTTTCAGTTATAACTGTAATATTTAGTTTCAAACCAAATGCTTGTATTAGACATAGGCAGAGAAGGAGAGACAAAGAGAGAGAGAGAGAGAGAGAGAAAGAGAGAGAGAATGCTAGAGAGACTTAAAGCTCACTTACCCCAATGCTGTGTCCAAAGCCAGAGCCTGGCTGAGGGCTGGTGGCACTCATGTAGTTCCCGACGCCGGAGTCCTGGCTGGCTGTACCGTAGATATCAGCCACTGGACCTGGGCTGTTGGCCCCGGGGAATCCACCAGGCCTGGCTGGGTTGGTGCCTGCCGGGGAAGCAGGTCCCCCAAAATTCGGTTGAGCAGTGTAGCTATTCAGGACTGGTGTGCAGAGAATAAAGCTGGGTATGAGGCCGGAGCCTAGCATGCACAAAAACAAGCCAAACACTAAAACAGCCTAAGGCCCAATTTCTAACACTCAATCCAAGGCCATGCGATAAAAGACAACAGCAGTACTCATGATGGTCAGCCCATACTACCACTAAGAAGCTTCGAGCCTCATAACAGTCATTCAACACACTATGTCAACCAGAGATTCTAGGTGCTCGTTTTCACCATCCGTCACAGAGTTCTGACATCAGATTTGATGCTCATGCAGAAATAACAGTTTCTAGATCTGGGCACGTTGAGACAGCATTCACATCCCATGCAAACTACAAAGGAACTAGAGTTCTACGACAGAGCATGTTAATATTTTCAGCTAGGGGTGAATAACATCCAGTGTATAGGAGTCAACAGCTCTAGAGCAATCTGGGGGCTTCTGAGGATACATGTCATTGCATATCAGGGCTGGGTTGAATCCCTCTAGCACTGCGGTTCGTTTTTTTCCCTTCCATCTTGGTGCAATGGACAAACTAGTAATTTGATCTGACTTTTCTTTGCATGGGATTTGGTGAACAGGGCAGAATTGGCCAAAACCTATTGCTATGGGAGAGGGTGGCAGAGTAGAAGACGGGTGGGGTGGGTGGCTGGGTGGGGGGCCTGGTGGGGGTGGAAAGGTCATTTTCTTTCTAGCCCCCAAATACTGTGCAAGTTAATAACTGGTTTGATGTACATTGGATACAATGTCCTCAGTAACACTGCATTAGAACTGAATACCAAAATACACGGGAATTAGAGATGCTCAAAAGGGTTCAGATTTCCCATCTTGGGACGCCCAAATTTTCCTTTATCTCAGTGACCCCCAAAAAATGACACGTTTCCCCCAACGCGTCCCCCACACAAATGGCGCTACTTTGAAAATTCTGACAAGGAACAGGTTATTCAAGCCAAATGTTCAAACGTTCATAGAGTTTCACAAATCTACATCTTCACCAAAAGCTACGTTCTTCCCCCTTCTGGTCCAATGAACTGCTCTGCTGGCGGGTGTCGTGAGGTGCAGAGGCGTGGTGAGGGCAATGACTGGGAATTCACCTTATTCCACCATCATAGGAATAGTCTACTGAGAATGGGGGGAAAGCACAGTCATGTTGGAGGGAACAGCTGAAGATCTACGTTCAAGATTACGTAGAGATTTAGTTCAGAAACCTGCAGAAACCCATTACTTGTCAGAATTCAGAATGTTTGCTCTCGGTTACTTAGCTTCACGGCTCACTGAACGGTCCCGTGAAAAGCCTGAGCAGAAACTTGCTACGTTTAGAGGTAATTATTCTCAACGGACAAACAATGGTGGGGTTGTTGGTGGGGGGGGGGGCTTGGGGAAGGCGGGGGGGCTTCCTGCCCTTGCCACACTTCTGAGACTAACAGCACCGCTCTCCTATGCAAACATAATGCCATTTAGATTTCTCAAAGTCAGCATTAGGGTTGGCGTGCAAAAATCCACTCATCTGAGCATAACATTTATATTCAGGGGACCTGAGGCTCTCCCTCATTTCCTCTCCACCCCCCCCACACCCCCGAACGATTCCCTAACTCTAGCAGTAGCAGCCGAAGGTCAATTCCAGCTCCAGAACACGGAGTCACCGAAACACAAGTTGTGTTAAAGTACCACAAGCCATTTAACAACCTATCCCTGACTCCCCCACTCACCCAATAAAAAAAGAAGTGTTTTTGGACTGACCAACTTGCAGAAGCATCAGAGGTTCTAAATCTGCCCCAAGCCTGAGTTTATAGATCTCCTTTGGGCACCTCAATTCAAAGCTACCCTAGGTTTAAGGTCAGGAGGACCATCTAAACATGGCCTTTGGTCTTCTGCCACTAACATTCAGGTTATCATAGTCTTTCAACGGCTTAACTGGGTCAATAGCTCAGTACCTGCACTTTACTGATCTAAGTTGAGAAGGTGGCAAATTGGGCTGATACAATTGGCCCCCACCACCATTGGCCAGCCGGGGAGGAGGGGGAATGCATAAATATCCAGTAGATATTGTAATGGGGCTAGATTCTGGGTTTAACTATTCAGCTGTGATGTGCACTGCCCACTGTTGTCAAAGAGCTTCCTTCCCAACACTCACTGTCTAGGCCAGTCATAGGAAGCATTGGGCACTTGAATGAGATGCTCTAGGTCTGAGGTTACAAATGCAACTGGACAAAAAGCTGGTTCAGAGAGCCGCCTGACAACACTTGCGGTCACCTTCTATGGTTCTGTGATTCTGCGAGACAGTACTTTTGGACTGCGGTTGTGGGCAAGAGAGTGAGAGAATTGATTCACTCTATCATTATATCGGGGCTGTGAATTTACATCAAGGCCTTTCTCTCAAGAAACTGAAGGAGGTAGGGAGGGGAGGGAGAGCGAGGAGTGTTTGCTTGATATTCAGGTATCTGGCATCTCAAGGCTTTTTCTAATGGGTCTGAATAAATATTCAGGAGCTGGAAAATATTTGAGGGTGAATTGAATTCAATCGGGCACTGGGGCTGGGTTAGAACCGGGAACTGTCCAAGCATTGTACAAGAGATAAATGTGGATTCCTGCTACATTACAGTGAAACCTGCGTTAAACAGTCACCTGAATCCAAGTGGTTGTTTCAGGGAAAGGTGGCTGGGGATCGAGTAGCAAATACTGTAGAGCTAAACCCCTAAACCAAGCTCAGGGGAGGGGTGGGGGGATGGTTAGAAAAGGTGTGACTGTGCTTCGGGGAGGAGGCAGGTAATCTCGATGTAGCTTTTCACTTTTACTTACATTGCTTACCTGTCATTTTTACCAGTGGCTGTGGCCACGATAGCAGGTGGCTGTTTATTCCAGGTGCGGATCCTATTTAATTAAATTAGAAATCTGTTGGTTTGGAGAAGAATTGGCTGCTTAAGAGAGGTGACTGTTTAATCGAGGTGACCATTAGGACAGGTTTGACTGTTCTACCTGTCACAATTTACTCTCCCCCACCCTTCCCTCACTATGACATGTACAGTGTTCATTTAAAGGGCCCTGGTTGCCTTATTAAGAGCCACCCCATGCAATTGTTACACAAAGTCATATGGAACGGAAACCGACCCAACTGGCCAGTCCGGGTGTCTACACTCCACACGAGCTTCCATCCACTTTTCCCGCTCCCCTCACCTACACGAGGCTCACTGATGAGCTGACTGATTGTGCGTTTTGGGGACTTTTTTTTATAAAAACAATTGTACTTCCTTACAAAAAAAATAAAATACACAAACTTTCATCAAGTCGATTTGTGCATTTGCACCCGTGGGTTATTTCTCCTCTATACTAGCCCCCTCCCCCGAATCTCCTCAACTCCCCCCCTCCCAAATCTCACCACAAATACAACAGCAAACCCCCAACCCCCCCCCACCCTTACCCCATTCTCCCTCCCAGATGTCACCGTATTCTGCACTGCTCTGAGAATCTGAGTTGCTTTAAGGTTACTGTTGGACACACTCTGTTCCTACTCAGTCGGGAAAGTCATCAAAAGATGACTTTGAGACGTCCTCCCGACGTGAAAGACGTAATATAAATGTAAATTGCATTGTATTAAAGCTAAGCTCCTGACTGTGCAGAGAGGAGCTTATGTGAAAGCTGGTGACACCTGCCAGTTAAGATTCCCTTGCAGGAAGCACTCGCCAGCTTCTGGTTGTATGAGTTATCGTCAGCTTGGCACCCGCCTGGTACCCCTCCCCCTCCAGACACCTCGACTGAACCGCCCACAGCCCAATACGGTAGTCGGTCTCTCAGTTGTCCCGCTGTTGCCAAGTGTTTATATTAATGCTTTACGTTGATACACAACCTAACCTTGGAGCAGCCTCAATCAACCCTGCTCCGACATTGTGAAGTTTTGCTCTCGTAACTCGGGGATGAATTATCATGTTCCCAGCTAAACCGCAGTGTGAAGAGTACCGACTGTGCCAGCAAAACACGGGGTTATCACAAGATCGCTTTGGATGTAGAAGGTCCTTCAGTCTGTTTGATATCACCCTTCCCAAATACCCATCCTACCGTCATCCCACCTGCGCTGTTTTTAAATGAATCCAGTGTCCTGTCCTCAGCATCCCTTCCTGGAAACCTGTTCCAGTTGTTAACTACCCTCTGGGTAAAGAAATACTTCCTGGCGTCTGCCCTCAAACCGCCCTTCACTGCCCTGAACCTGCTGCCTTGGCAAATCTGAAAGTCTTGTTTTGGGTCGTACATTTCCCTCCCGAGAAGCTTCTTTTCAAGACCGAGGAGCCCGAACTTGTCTAATCATTGCTCTTAAGCCTACTCCCCTAACACTAGGGGATCATCTTTGCAGAGGACACCGATGGCAATGTCAACCCTCAGGTTTGCGGGGCACATTGCGATGAGGGGAAAGGGTGCGGGGAAGAAAATAACACTCTATGAAGCTCTACCTCATTCCCCTACCTCACTGCAACACCCAGCTTCCTCCTTGTTAAACCATTCCAGTGGACTGCATCTCTCGCTTCCCCCTTAACTGCTGCGATATGTAAATAATCCAGTTTAGCCCTACTCTGACTCCTTTGTGTTTTGAGGCCCAACATGTCCCACAGTGTCCAGTGCAGGGAACACAGGCACGTCAATTCTCTCTCAACCTTAATGCCTCTGAGTAGGTGAAAGCTGCCCCTGTAGATCACCAACATCCAGAAATATCGTTGTAAAATTTATATAGTCACCCCTATAAATATCAGGCCCGACAGGAATAACAGATGCATTTAATTAAAATTATTTTTTTAAAAAATGCACTGTGAATGTTAATCTACGAAAGTATCAGAAATATGAACCAGTTAATTAATGATGATAACTAGAGTCTGACAAGAATATGCTTGGAGTTCATGGCAAGACTGTTCAGCAGCTTATTTGTTACCACCCCACCCTTCGCTCACCACCTTTCAAATAAATCAACTTCAGTAATAAGCACAACTAGACTATCACAGGCAGTGTGGGAAATTGGTAATAAGAAAGAATTTGGATTTTTATAGTGCCATAACTCGCCAAAACATCTCCAAACGCCTCAGACCTAATTATTATAGAGTGTCGTGACTGTTTTACGTCAGCAAACACAATATCTATTTGTGCCAGCAAGATCCTCACAAACAGACGTGAGATGAATGATCATGTTTATCTTGGGGAATGTCGGCCAAGACACCGGGGGTAGGGGGGGGGAAGCTCCCTTCTCTTTCCAAATCATGTCAAGGGAACGCTAACGTCCACCTGATCAGGCAGTCAGGACCTCGGTTTAATGCCTTACCGCACTCCCGAAAACACACATCACTCCCCACCCCCCCGCCCCACACTGGAGCATCAGCCTAGACTGTGAGCTCAAGTCTCAATCTGAGGCCTGAACCCACCAACTTCTGACTCAGAGTCAGATCGAGACGAGAGTGCTGCCGACTGAGCCAGGCTGGTAAATCCACGTTTAAAGACTTTGTTTTACAACAATAACAAAAGACTAAAATCTTCAAATAAACATCAATTCAACTTTAAGTGTCAGTCACCTTCAGTCTGCCTTACAAAGACTGTAATGTGCTCTTTTAATGGCCTTTTGCTACGTATACATCCAGCTTAACCTGGGCTGTGTGTACGTGTGTGTGTGTGACTCTCTGGAATACTGCACGGTAAGATGTGGGCAGGGGGCTGCAGAGAGCGCAGTGGACAGCCTCTGCACTTGTAACCATCGCTTCTAATTAAGTTCCTTTTGTTTGCTTACACGAGCCGCAATGGGAGCTCGGGGAGCTGTTATGCCGATGTCTCCATCTGTCTGTGAACAAAGTATCTCATTAACAGAGCGATAACCGAATCCGATCTGCGAGTACTTTAGGGCTTCGTTCCCAGTCATTCGTTTTAAGAGCCGGCACTTGTGAAAATAATAGACACGTGACCACATTGTACCTGTGTCAGAGTGCCCCAGCTGCCTGGGTCTGCTGTGAAATCGTGCGTTGAGGTGACTTAACAGAACAGATTCGAGATGGATCTATTGGGACATTAATGCTTTGGCAATTGGGACACCCTCAGTGACTTCCCAAGTGCTTCCCATGGCTCAAAGGGTGAATAATATTAATAATAGTAATCCTTGCGTTTGATTTAGCACCTTATCATATCGCCGAGACATCTCAAAAGCGCATCACAGAATACACCGTGAAGTGAATTGACTTGAATGTTTTGTGGGCGAAATTTGGTGGGTGAACGGAGCATCTGGACTGGTTCTGGGCAGCAAGGGTGGGGTAGGTGCCCTCTCTGGTCTCAACTTGGGCTGAGTTACTGGGATTGGCAGGGAGGACGTAATAATTTGGCCCTGTGCTGGGGAATGGTGTGTGTGCGTGTGGGGGGGGGGACTTGGTTGCTACCCAATGATGTCTTCCCTTCTCCCCTCCCACTCTGGTACCATGATGACCTGGGGGAAAAATAAAATCCCCATTTGTTACCTTATTGGGTCTTTTTTCAGGAATAGGACAGGAATTGAAAACCTGGGAGATGTGTCACCGCAACTGAACAACTGCTACCTTCTTTTAGGTGCATTTAATTAAGCCCATTGATACCATAGCACGGATGTTTACTCCGTGGTGTTTTCCAGGGGATAGAAAGAGAGATAGAGTAATATTCAAGCAGTCCTCCTACAGGGCCTTAGACTGAAAGTAAGTGTAAACAGGTTAAGACACACACAGGAGGCTGCTCTGTACATTTGCAGGACTGTACAGTTGGGTACCGGCTCTTAAAAACCATAGGCTACAGAGTGGACTCAGCGATCTGATTGCATTTACTGGGGATCAGGCAAAGGTAACACAAGCCGGTCACAGCCTCCGCCGGTCACTCATTCCCAAGCAGCTGAAAAGGCAAATGCTGTGCTGAGGTACGATTTAGTCAGAGATCTCATCAAAGTGTACGTTTGTGTATATTTGTAGGCAAACGTGACGGCCGATTTGCAGGCAGCAAGGTTGCACAAATTAATCTGAAGGAATTGTTGGCCAGGACACCGGGAAAAACTCCCTTCCGTCTTGGAGTAGCCCCATGGGATCTTTAACTTCCAACAGGCAAACCAACCAGATATGAGAAGGGGAGCTTTAGTCACAAGATACACTTATCCATTATGATGCAGTTCAACTCGACTTGTCGTGTAATTAAATGGAACGTACGCATTATGAAATGATGACTAAGTCAGTCTGCCTTTGTTGCTATTAACACCTCAGCTTACGCTCTCAAACTTCACTATGCTCGATCATTAACTCAGAAAGGCTCCCCACCTAACCCCCCACCCCAGCCCCCAAACCTCAGGACAGTTTCCATTTCCCACACCAGAATCCCTATCCCAGCTCTCTGTAAGAGCTATCTGTTTACTCCCATTTCCTCAGCTATTTTCACCCTCACCCTGGTATATTTTTCCTTTACGTATGTCTGTCCAATTCCCTTTGAAAGGCCTCTCGGGATTCTGTTTCAACAACCCTTTTGGTCAAGCTTTCCTAAGGTAATATTTGCATCCGACTCTATAGATCGACTCCCTCCACATTTATGTCACACTTTAGGGTGTCTAGAATTTGGGGTAGCTTAGCCTTAGCTTTGAAGCCATTCTCCTTAAAAGTTCTTGCTGAAGAATAGCTTCAAATTCAAGGCTATATCGAAGCGTTTGCCAATTTCTGGAGCCTCTGAAATGCAATGTAGAATAAAAATGCAAATCTAAACCCATTTGGAATTTTACCCCTTGGGTGTCCTAACAACTCTCTGTGTGAATGTTATATGGAAAAGAGGAAACCTTAACAAAGGAGCAGCACCAAATTACAGAAGGATCCCCAAATAATACAAGTAACACAGAGGAATGAGTCCACACTGTATAATGTACTCCTCAAATCGTTCTTAGACTGACATTTCTGCTAGTCAAGGATCCATCCACAGGTTTATATGTTTTTCAGAAGAATGCAAGACGGAGAGGCAGGAGTGAGTGCCTGGGACTCACTTTAAGACAATTCACATTTACACATAATTAAACCCAAATTTACTCCCTTTTTTAAAAAAAAAAGTTTTCTTTCAGGGCATCTCCCACATATATACAGCCAATTCACTTGACAGTATATCCTGTGAAGCGTTTTGAGATGTCTCGAAATATGCGATAAGGCGCAAAATCGAATGCTAGGATTATTATCATTATTATTATTGAAACGCGCCAGCACTCTTGTGGAAAAGATAACCGTGGACAGCCTTTCGAGTGAATGAGAATGGCATGCAGACTCGCTCTTAGAAAGTATTTTCTTTAAAGTCTGTATATCGATACACATAATATACAGTATTATTAAAACAGTTGACCCCCACCCCCTTCCCCGAGGAAAGGAATTTGTGTACAAACCTGGGTTCTTAAACTGATCCGGACTGGAAAGGTGGTGCAGGGAAGGACTGCTCGCTTGAGGAGCATGCTCACTGCGAAGCATCTGAGCTGCCCGCAGTCCCATTGACCCATAGTCGGCAAACGACACGGAAGCCCGTTGATCACCGGGTGAAGAATAAAAACCATAATCGGGGAACCCTGCGAGATACAGGGACTCTATCATTGTAAACATTGGTCACAGTGTGTATGTATACAATATATAATTTAAAAAAATCTCTTTCCTTTCCCCCGGTTTTTATTCCTCTACCATCCGCTCCTGACTCAGTTACAGTTACACAGCTGCCCATGTGTTATCCTGAGCTGACAGCCAGCGTGTGGCCGTTATCCACTCGATAGTGAATGGCATTGCACACGATGTGCCACCCAGTCCTCACCTGCACAGGGGCGCTGGAGAGATTCTCTTCCCTCCACAGTCACAGGGCAGTGAAGTCAGTGGTGAGGCCCCCTTCCCTCCCCCCCCCCACGCTGACACACCTCAGCGCAGACTGGGGACTCAAACCTGGTACCTGTGCGGCTCAGTGCTGCATTTACCAGGGAGCTCAAACCCTTTCTCAAACATCAGCCATCGAAGGTAGAGTTATATTATGTCACACGTACATCATACCAGTTTTAAGCAAAGTACATAAGAGACCCAGAGGAGAGTTTGACGCCAGGAGTAGAGCGAAGCAGCTCATAAAGAGGCAAAGACCATCTATAGAATGCATTCCTGTTGTTTTGTTGCCGTCTTGTGACCGCAACACACTATCCCCCCACCACCATCCCCATCCTTTACCTTTTACCTGGTATAAATCCATATACAATTGCTTTCTCCTGTCAACCCTGGCTGTTTGCCTGTAATCTTCACTTTACCCCAATTCTTCTCGCATTTGCAATACCGAGGAGAGCAAAGCGACAATACAGAGCTCCCTGCCTGAAGTGGGCAGTGAGGGAGCTCCTGCTGGCTTCCTCCCATTGCGTTTTAATACCTGTAAACCCTAATGATCTGTCAGGCTGAGGACCCTGCCCATCAGTGCTCTGAGTGCCAACCCAAAGGTCATGTTAGGTGCAACCTCGACAGTGAAGTGATTTCCAGAGGAGACGCAAGTTGCTGTTATTGTTGTTTACCCTCTATGGACAGGAACGTAAAAACCCTTCGATGGTTAAGTGTATCCGGCGATGTGCAGGACCAGATTTAGGCGACTACAGTACATTTCTCTCCGATGCTTTCCCGAAACTAAAGAAAAATCCTTTCTGGATCCAGCACACGGAAATAGTCAGGGGTCGTACGTGGTAAGAACAACCAACCCATGGTGCTTGTCGCACGTTGGGAGGACGTCTCAAAGCGCTTTACGGGGTGTACTGCAAAGTGTGGCGAGTGTTTATTTCGTAGGCGAGCTGTGTTGCTGGGTGTGGAAAAGTCTCGATACGGCAGAAATGCAGCAGGCATGGCTGGGGAGTTTGAGGTTTTGAGACCGACATTGTATTGTTACCCAGAGGAAAGGGTGTGATGGTGGATGAGCTCAGGGCAGGAAGTGAGTGAGACCGATTGCCATTGGAAACAGCTACAATTCAGTCGGACAAAGATCAGTCATGTCGTCCAGCTGTCAGCCCCTACTCTCGACACCCCCCCCACCATCCATCTAGTTTCATTGAGACACTGGTCCCTAAAGGCTTTCTAACGCTCAAAATGTTTCACAGATCAACACACTCAACACTCTCGAGTCCCAATTCTTCACAGAGATCTCTTAAAGGGAAACTTCAGCCATCCCGTCAGAAACATCCTCTTCGATCGACTGCACACGTAGCCCATATTCACCCACTAACAGCCAAACAATGGTTTGCTCTGAAACTGATGCCCATTTGCAGGGGTTATGGAGTAAAAATAAATAGAATAGACGGCCACTTGCATTTATATAGCGCCCTTCACCCAGGATAACCTCTCAGAGGGCTTCACAACCTCTGGGGTGCTCAGCTGCATGAGGGGAGCTATATAAATGTAAGTTGTTTTTGTTCACAAGGTCAGGATCAGAAGCCGAATGAGGGAGGGCGAAAGGGAGACGTGACCGTAAGCCCGGTCGAAGAGTTAGCGGGGAAGGGAGACGGAGGGGTAGATAGAAGGGGGGCATTGCAGCTGAAGTCTTAAGGTAAAAGTTGCAACAGGAAAGTTGCAGCAACGATGGGGAAGAGGCAGTTCGTTCAACACATTATGGGGTTCTTGGCTGGAAAGTGATGCGATTTCCACTGGGAGAGAGAGAGAGAGAGAGAGAGAGAAAAAAGCTACTGTTTAATTCAATTAAGTGGTCCCATCACTAATAAAATTCCTGGCCCGTTACTCATGAAATGCGACACCACCTCCAGGACATAACAAGGAGAGGGCTACTTCTACAACCAACAAAAGATCGAAGGCTATTTTTTCCGGTAGTTTCAAGACCTGAAGAAATGGATTAAATACCGTATGGGCGACTGACTCAGTCAGGTGAAACATTCCACCTGGGTCTGAATAGACTGACTCGATTTACACGGCACTTGAAGGGCTCTAGAATTTGGCAAATTGTTATCTTTGGTTTCAACTTTGAAGCTGTTTCTCTGCCATCCTCACACAAAACCCGGCTTCAGAGCGAAGGCTGCGTTTAAAGCACTGGACGCTCTGAAATGCTACGAAAATGAGAGTGAACACGTTTCGCTCACGAAAGACACAGTCACTCCACTTTACAGTAAATCCAGTGTAGGAAGAGCTTCGAGAAGTCCCGACGATGTGAGAAGGAGCGGCAACAAATGCAAGGATTATTATTATTATTATTAAATCAGACCCAGGTGGGACTGCTCACCACAGTGGCGTACACAGCAGTTACGTCATTATGCAGCAGATGTAACCACCTCCTGATGTACATGCTGCTGATTTGCTGAGTCAGTGCTGGCTATTAATGGGGGATAGTGGACTCAAATAAAGGGTCCCTGGTTCTCTCTCCAACCCCACACTCACATACACACTCACTCACACTCACACACACACAGACTCACACACACGTGCGCTCACACAAACACGGGTCTCATTACAAAGGAGCAGCCAGCGCTTCTTCAATCATTCTCAAAGGCTCCGAGGTTTTTAATCCGTGTCTTATTTTAGTGGTTTAAACGGCTTCACGAAAGTATTTTTCGTGCATTTTCCACTAATTAGGTGAGCGAGAAGCTGTTCAGGCTCCTTCACATCTCTAATTAGATCCTTAACAACAACAAACAAATGTCAGGGTCCCCGAGCCATGGAGTCCAGCTCGTCATTCCGTCCCCTCACCCCCCCAAACGGCCCCCCCCCACCACCTCGGCTTTGGTTTCAGCCTCGAAGCATCGTTTGATACCGAAAATGAAACCTGCACCAACCTCCCCTCAGCGCACGCCAGGCGCATCTGAAAGAGAGCATTACTGGGCCCCCCGAATACTGACTGCTATTGTGTCGGGCTGTCGAGTAAGTCAGGCAGCAGAGAATGAGGATGTAAATGTAGCAGCTGCCTTAAGTGCTTTCAAGGGAAGAGAAGAGACTTCTCTTTACATCTTTTTTTTGTGTATGCGTGGAACAAAAAGGCAAATATTTGGACACATGGAGGTGCGTGGGAGTCTGTTAGTAGCAGGGAGACCACAATATGAGACAACCTACACAGTGCTTTGACAAGATCCAAACGCAGAATTATATCAGCAAATCCAACTGTGTCTTTTCTGTCTCCCCCAGCGTCTGAGTTGTATTTTAAAGCCTTTTTTTTTAACTTTTTATCTATCTTTTCTATTTTGTCTTTTGTTAGGCAGCTGATGTTTTTGCTCAAACCTCCTCAAGTCTCTATCCTGCTTGTTTTGTCACTACTTAGGTGAACGTTACAGCTCTCTATTCTTTGTATTGTTCCTTGAACGTTGTCTCTGGCAAAAAAAAGGTTTATTTGAGGGAGAGGCTTGCATTTCTTTGCCTGTCTCCACTGCTGACAAATCTGATCTGTTTGAATTGCTAAGTGGGATCGCTTTGTAGTCTGAACAACTCTTACCCACCTTCTCTGGGTGTCAGTGGCTCTGTGTTAAGGTGGTTTAACTGTAGAGAACAGAATTAGGAAGCGGGGTACAGACGACAGTAAGACGTTGACTGAAAATTGCCACCGGGTCGCACGGTTGTGGGTTCGAGCCCCAATTCAGGATATGATCTCACGCACTGAACTCACTGTAGGGAGAGAGTGATAGCCGCACGGACTGAGGTGCCAGCCTTCGGCTGAAATCTTAAACCAAAGTCCCGTCCGCCTGTCTGTCCTTTAGGTGAGCGTTAGGGATCCCTTGGTGCTATTCAAAAAAGAGAACTTAATTCCACTGTTGTTGATCTGAAAGCAGCTGAGAGCTGGCGGTGACAGAGCCCAGGAGAGAGCAGCCTGTCTACAGTCTTATCAAGTATAAGCTACAACTCTCTCCACTCTTTCTCTAGAGTCAAGGAAGACAGGTCTTGGTTTAACGTCTCATCCAAAGGATGAACGATGCTGTGAGCTCCAGCGCTGATGTGGGGCTTGAAGTCACGACCTCTCATCTATAGACAATGCACCAACTTCAAAGAATTGACCTTAAAAAAGAACTTTTCACCCAAACAAAACACCTGCTTTGGGCTCAGAAACTGCGAACGAAAGCAGTCAGGCCTCAGATTATCAGATTACCCAGTACAGTTGGAGACAATATTAATAATAATTACAATAACAATTCTTACATTTGAAAAAGAGCAGTCAAAACATCTCAAAGCACTTCACAGGATTTTTACTGAAGTGTAGTTTGTTTTTTTGACTAGCCAGGTGTCTGACACAAATGCAGAAACCACGCACAATGCTTAAAGAGTATCCAAACCAGACTGAGAGTTCCACATACGTGGAATTCTACAAGTAGAAATTTCCCTGCGTTCTGGAATGGAACGTGTACTCTCTCACTCTCTCGCTCTTCTCGGAGGGACGCAAGCTGATTACCTCTCTAGGGAAGTACTGGGCACACGTTGGTAAGAGCCAAGACTTGGGAACCCCAGAGTCTAGTCTTGGGGGAGCTGCTAACTTAGCTTGCCATCGAGAGCACTGTCTGGCAAAGCTTCCTGCTTGTTCAGCTAGCACCACCCTACTATTTGCAGGCCAGTAAGGAAGTTTTATACAGGTCGC